CGCATTATATTTCAGCTCGTAGCTCTAGATACCAAGAAATCACCATCACCAAATTTTTATATGTTGTAGAGCAAAAGATTCTGCACAAAACATGTTTTTTTTTAAAAAATATAAAACTTTGTTTTTTTTATGTTTATTTAAAATTTTTTTATTGTATTCATTTGATTTTTCAACAAAATTGAAAGACAAATAAGCATTCAAAAACAAATCTAATAAACAAAAAAGCACTAAATTCTATTCAAAATGAGCTAAATTACAAGTCTGTATTGAAAGGCGTGTCAAGTAGTAACCTGACAAATTTTGCCACTTTGAAGGGGTGTAACTTGACGGGGAATTCACTTTTCCAGTTTTTTGCGACATTCTCTATGCTCACCCGGGCTCTACTAATCAGCAAAATTTAAAGAAAATCTGAGATTGAGAGGAAAAAAGTGTACGATTTGACGTGGAACGGCCCATATATACGTATATCAGCTTTAAAAAAAATTTTTGTCATTAGAGACTGTCAAAAATAGTTACTGAGACGAGTTTGCATTTTACATCTCACAGATGTGAAGTGGAAAGCTTAAACAAAAAATTTGCTGACTTAATTGATGACTGCTGAACATTAGGTAAAAATGAACAAATTTCGGTGATGGTAAAGATTTTATGAGCTCTATAAGTTGGATTTTGAGAACGTCAGTATTTTCCAATTTATCTCTTTACAAAAGCAAGAACTTTTTTAACAGCTAACGATAAGTGGACAAATTGTTATCGGTTACTTAATGTGCCCCCGTGTAAGTAATAGCTTTAAATTCCAAAAACACAGATTAGCTGTCAAATCATCGTCGTATCACTGCCACTTTTCAGATATTCTTCTGTAGTTTACTGCTAAGAAGGCTTTTTACCAGATCTTACAACATTTAATAAAGATAAGTAAAGATTTGAGAGAAATAGGTGTCCAGTGAAAGCGTCCGAGAGAATTTTATTAAAGCGCACATCAATGGCTTAGAGTTTTGCAGTATGCAAAAGAAGGGCAAATTAAGAAAAGAATTTAGCGTCTCCATTGTATACAAATAAATTTAATTGAAAACATTAATAAACAATCCAAAAATATTTATAAAGAACAGAAATTAGTTTGCCCAGAAGAAAAGTTTATCGAAAAGAATGAGTTATCAAGTAAAGGAAACGAAACTCTAATAGCTTCTAGCAGATGGTATATAGTAAAAGTGTTCAAATGCCTTTAAGACATTTTAGTGTTGTTGCCTGTGCTGATTTGTCACTAATGTCAAAAATAAAAATAAGAAAAAAAAAAAGTAAAAAAAATGTAAAATATAAATTTTCAAATATATGTTGTCATTAAATTATATAATGAAAGTCACTATAGTCTACTTTCACTTTCTTATTTTTTTCATCAGAATATACTAATGTTTGAAACACTATTAAAGGTTAAAAATTCAGGCGGCTGACAACATCTGTTCCAAAATATAGTTTAAATTTTTTTGCTTACACTTATTTGACTAAACTGCAATTTGTCAATAAAATTGAAGTAGCATTCATTGACTGTCTGAACAGTCACTAAAATCAAAAAAAAACCTGTATATTTGAGTGTCAAGAAATTTCACTTCTCCGTTCTCTCTTAAACTGCCGCCCCCGTTCTCCTACGAAAACAGTTTTAATAGAGGTAAATGCACTTCTAATACATTTCCACACCATTATACGACTGCTAGCATATAAATTATCTGACCACTACACCTGCACAAATAAAACACAGTTGTTATCACTTCCTGATTTTATCGAGCACCTGATTCTAACTTGACCCGAATAATAAGCAAGAGAAAAATTATTTATATAGGAACGAAGAAAAAAGTTGGCAAAAAAAAATTTTCAAATTTTTCTGCCATGTGAAATACGGAGAGCAGAGGGAAGGACAAACAAGGCAGGGCAATCCAGAGACAATAGCAAACCTCCATTTGTTGCAAAATAAACTGCTCCTTCAATCCGCTGGTGGGTTTTCTGATGAAAAATGGATGATATAGAGGAACAGTGCAACAGTCTTTTGTTTGCCCCGTTTTCATGATGACATCAATCCTTCTTGTTTCTACTTCGAAACTAGTGAGATACAAATGTTGTACAGTGGTTCTTCACACCGCTTTAGCTGAACCTTAGATTTCCTGCCCAAAAAGTCAACACTATTTCCACGATAATATTATATATTGGATAGGCTTGTCATTCCTTCTTCTCTTTCTCTCCCTGTCTCTCTCTCAAAACTGTCGAACTGTCGATGTTTGCATATTTATTTCCTTTAACTTTATTTTTTTGGTGCACCGTTCTTTGGTACAATGGTCACCTTCATAACTGTAATGTCAATGCTTCAAATTCACTTCCCGTTCTGCATTTGAGGTTTTGGTAAGTGTGATGCATTTATCATTCGGGACACTTGCTGTCGTTTTTATTACAACAACAGCACAGCACCGTTCCCTTCCCAGTCTTTTATTGGTGCTGACCGCATTGACCGAACTAGTGATGTACCAAACTGGTTACCGTTTTATCCGCTTTGCCAGAAGCAATGGCCTGTGAAAAAAAATGGTGGTATTTCCGTTTCATTTCTGCTATGTGGCCGTCTTCAGCTTTGCTTAACGACGAATAACTGATTGATCAGCTGAACGGGATAGATGAACGGCGTAACTGTTGTCTCGCAGTCAAGGGTAGAATAATTTGAAAGTATTTCTGTAAATTGCTCTGTTCATACCCTTCAATAACTCATGTGCTAAAGTCTCTGAAGTCCTTAAGAGGGAAGAAAGTAAATTTTTTTATTTTAAGGAGAGAAATTTTTTCCGGTTTTTCTTTTTTTCCCCCCTTTTTACAATTTTCTGTTCACCATGACAACGGTTTCTAAAACACTTGCGAAATTTTCTTAATATAAGTGATGCAAAAACAGAGGCACAAACGTGTATATACATACATAGAGTCATGAAATGAAATTAGGAGAGATTAAAAATTAAGGATTCAAATAAAAAATAGAAATTTTCAAAGCATAAATTTCTAACTGAAAAAATTCCTTTATTTATTACCCAATAACAACAGCAAAAGCAAAACTCCTTAATTTCAGCAATCAACTTAATCACGCGCTCATTTTTTTTAGCTTCTCCCTCTTTTTCGTCATCTCCATCTCCGTATATATTTTTTTGACCTTAAAATACAGGCAAGAAAGCATTTTCAAGACAACAAACATACACAGTAGGGTAATGGCACAGAACACTTTATAGTTCTAAAAATGATTACGGTTCAAATTTTGACACAACACTTTTCCTTTACCGTCTCACACAACTCTTTTTTAGGCTTGCAACTAAGTTTAGTATTCTTTGTCAGTTAAACAAAGAAAAAAAGTGCTATTTTTGGGAGAGGAGAGGGAGGAGAAAAGAAAGAAAAGGCAGATTTTTTTTTTTTTTGTTTTAGTTCACATAACAACCCATATATTGAACTGATTCTGCAAACTTTGATTTTTGCAACTTATCATTTGTCATTGTCTCGTTAAGCACCGGGGAAGAAAAAATCCGAACACTTTTCACAAACCAATCCGTCTTTTTCGTTGCTATTAATGTTGCTGTTGTTGTTTTCTGCAGTTTCTTTTCATTCATTTTTATTCAAAAAGATGAACAAAAAACAATGCTTGATAAAATTGGACTAAATCAGTCTTAGTTTGATACTATTGAAGGCTAAAAGAATTAACGTATAATTTTTGGCAGAATTGTTAACCTAACAGAGCAACTAAACTAAACGGCAGTTGAGGCAGAAGAATTGACAGACCTGGAAAAGAGTAACCGTTATTCAACTAACAATCAGGCTGCTGTATTTTTCTAGACAAAAAATTTCAGAGATAAGAAAGATTATATATACAAAAGATTGAAACTGTTTTGTTGTTTTTTTCCCAATCATTTTTTACTACTCCAACCATAAAAAAAAAACAGCTTTTTTTGACAGTATAAAAAACTGGCACTGCTAAAAACGTTATTTGGTGACTGAATCCAATAAACAAATCCGTGAATATTTAAGAGTAAAAATTCAGAAGTAACAGAAGAATTACAGATGTTTTTTTGGAGGGTACAAATAAAAATAGCATACTTTTGATAAAAGTAAAAAAAGAAATTTTCCGGAAAATTTATTGGTAGCACAGTTATGGATGAAATAAATGAGAGAGAGAGATATAACACTGATTTTTCAGTGAGAGAGCAATGCCAAAAAAAGAAAAAAAAAAGAATAGCTTTTTCTTTTTCTTTTTGGGGGGGAGGGGGGGAGGCGTCTTAGTGCTGCTGCTGATTGTCAAACTGTTCGAATATCTTTTTATAACGATGAACTTCTGTATCAGTGATATATCAACAATTTTTTGATGATAGTTGCTTAACCAAATAACTATCTATGTTCATTAGTGGTACTTAGATTCCATGACTACATTTGTATTGATGTATAAGTGCTGTAAATGTAAAAGGAAGAAAATGATGAAATGGAAATAGAATAGTAAGTGAGCTTTGTTGTAATGATTATCAGATTCTTTAGATTTTACATCTTTTTCAACTTTATCATCACTTCATCATAAGCAGTAGTAACATTGGCATCATCATCATCATCATCATCATCATCATCATCATCATCATCAGCATCATCACCATCATCACCATTTTCATCTTCATCTTCATCTTTAGCAACAGAAACATCAGCAGTATCAGCATGTTTATCATGACTACCGTCACCAGCAGCAGCAAACACACAACTGATGCATAAATTAAGAAACAACAAACATATTGCATTCCAACTGACAAATAAACCACTACCAAAATCACCATCAACAGCAGCAAAACAACCACGACAAATACAACAGAGTGTTAAATATGATAAAGATGGGTAGTGAAAAACTTTGAAACTACAGATTTTTTTAAACGGTTAAAAAAAAATGAGCAGACAGACAAAAGACGATAAAAAACTGAAGGAACCAGACGTAACTCTAAATCAACTTAAACTCAAGAAACAACCTAATAACACCAACTTCTGTTGCTTATTAAAGCTTAAGTTATGAGTTTCTTCTTTTATTAATACTTTTTACCATCTTAACATTTCTTTTCGTCTTCTTTTTCATCTCCAACTACTTCACAGTCTTTCCAAAAAAAAAAAAAAAAACACTTTTTGTTTCTTTTAAAAATATCAGTACTTGAGCAAAACGAGAAAGGCGAACGAAATAGCAAATTTGAAACGTTTAATAAGCGTACAGTGGAAAATTATGTTTGAAAAAAAAGTCAATGTTATCCAC